AGATCTTGATGCTGGGAATGATTGAAGGCAAAAAACGAAAGGGTTGGCAGAGGATGAGTTTGTGAGCCTCACCAACTTCTTAAGATAGTAAAGGACAGGGAAGCCTTGTGTCCTGCAGTACATGGAGTCAAAAAGAATTGGACATGACTTAGCAACTGAACAACAAAATAGTGCTTGTGTTAAGTCACTTCATTCGTATTGGACTCTTTGCAATCCTATAGACTGTAGCCTGCCAGGGTCCTCTGTCCATGGGATTTCCCAGGCAAGAATAACAGAGTGGGTTTCTATTTCCTCCTCCAGGGGATCTTCCCCACCAAGGATTGAACTGGTGTCTCTTATGTCTCCTGCACTGGGGGAAATGGGTTTTTTACCACTAGTGCCACCCAACAAACAACATTCATTATGTGTTACTAAATTCAATTTGCTAGATTATGCTTAAGATGTTTGTATTTGTAGTCATAAATTGTATTGACTAAGTATTTTCTTGTAATTTCTTTTTCAAGTTTTGATATTATATTCTCCACATAAAATTGGTTGCAGAATGCACACTTTTCTAAACTCTGAAGTATTTTATGGAATATTAGTATTTTTTTCTTAAATTCTTGAGCAAGTTTACCCAAAAAGCCATTTGGACTTGGAGTTTCCTTTGTGGGATAATATTCTCTGAGATTCATGATTCAAGCTATTGTATATGTCCACTATTTTTAATTTCAATTTATCTCATGATTTTAATTATGTAAGTGAATTGCTCTACATTACTAATTTTCTATAATTTTTTTCCTCTGTTTTCTCTTCAATCTCCTGAAAGATGAAATTTATTTTCTCCTTGGGACATCATTCCTGAGTAGCATTTTTTTCCCTATAGTTCATCTTGTTTTGCCTTTTCTATGACCCAATGGATGTTGACAAGTTGATCTCTATTCTTGTGCCTTTTACAAATCCAGTTTGAACATCTGGAAGGTCTCAGTTCACATACTGTTGAAACCTGGGTTGGAGAATTTTGAGCACTAGTGTGTGAGGTGAGTGCAATTGTGTGGTAGTTTGAATATTTTTAGCATTACCTTTCTTTGGGATTGGAATAAAAACTGACCTTTTCCACTACTGAATTTTCCAAATTTCCTGGCATACTGAGTGCAGCACATTAACAACAGGATTCGAAATAGCTCACTGAAATTCCATCATGTCCACTAGCTTTATTCATAGTGATGCTTCCTAAGGCCCATTTGACTTTGCATTCCAGGATGTCTGGCTCTAGGTGAGTGATCACACCATCATGGTTATCTGGGTCATGAAGATCTTTTTGTATAGTTCTGTGTATTCTTGCTACCTTTTCTAAATGTCTTCTGATTCTGTTGGGTTCATACTGTTTTTGTCCTTTATTGTGCCCATCTTTGCATGAAATATTCCTTTGATCTGTAATTTTCTTAAGGAGATCTCTAGTCTTTCCCATTCTGTTGTTTTCCTCTCTTTCTTTGCATTGAACATCGAGGAAGGTTTTCTTAACTCTTCCTGTCATTCTTTGAAACTCTGCATTCAGATGGGTATATAATTCCTTTTCTCCTTTGCCTGTACCTTCTCTTCTTTTCTCAGCTATTTTTAAGGCTTTATAAGACAACAGTTTTGCCTTTTTGCATTTCTTTTCCTTGGGGATGATCTTGATCAATGCCTCTTGTACAATGTCATGAACCCCTGTGCATATTTCTTTAGGGACTCTATCAGATCTAATCCCTTGAATCTATTTGTCACTTCCACTCTATAATTGTATGGGATTTGATTTAGGTCATAATTGAATGGTCTAGTGGCTTTCCCTACTTTCTTCAATTTAAATCTGAATTTTCCAATAAGAGTTTCATGATCTGAGCCACAGTCAGCTCCTGGTCTTGTTTTTGCTGAATGTATAGAGCTTCTCCATCTTCAGCTGCAAAAAATATAATCAGTCTGATCGCTTCCTGAGAAATTTGTGTGCAGATCAAGAAGCAACAGTTAGAACCAGACATGGACAATGGACTGGTTCCAAATTGGGAAGGGAGTACGTCAAGGCTCTCTATTGTCACCTTGCTTATTTAACTTATATTCAGTGTGCATCATGCTAAATGCTTAGCTGGATGAAGCACAAGTTGGAATCCAGATTGCCAGGAGAAATACCAATAACCTCACATAAGCAGATAACACCACTCATATGGCAGAAAGCAAAGAGGAACTGAAGAGCCTCTTGATGAAAGTGAAAGAAGAGAGTGAAAAAGCTGGCTTAAAGCTCAACATTTAAAAAGTGAAGACCATGGCTTCTTGTCCTATCACTTCATGGCAAACAGATGGGGAAACAATGGAAACAGTGGCAGACTTTATTTTCTAGGGCTCCAAAGTCCCTGCAGATGGGGACTGCAGCCATGAAATTAAAAGACACTTGCTTCTTGGAAGAAAAGCTATGACCAACCTAGACAGCATATTAAAAAGCAGAGACATTACTTTGCTGACAAAGGTCCATCTAGTCAAAGCTATGATTTTTCCAGTAGTCATGTACAGATGTGAGAGTTGGACCATAAAGAAATCTGAGAGCTGAAGAATTGATGCTTCTGAACTGTGGTATGGGAAAAGACTCTTGAGAGTCCTTTGGACTGCAAGGAGATCAAACCAGTCAATCCTAAAGGAAATCATTCCTGCGTATTTATTGGAAGGACTGATACTGAAAGCTGAATCTCCAATACTTTGGCCACCTGATGTGAAACACTGACTCATTGGAAAAGACCTTGATGCTGGGAAAGATTGAAGGCAGGAGGAGACAGGAACGACATAGGAAGAGATGGTTGGATAGCATCACAGACTCAAGGGACATAAGTTTGAGCAAACTCTGGGAGTTGGTGATGGACAGGGAATTCTGGCATGCTACAGTCCAAGGGGTCACAAAGACTCAAAACCACTGTGCAACTGAACTGAACTGAATCTTGTTTTGACCCTAACTATCCAACTTTTTATAAAATATTTTAATATATTTAAATGCTTCTTTTTTTTTTCCTCATAACTCTGACTAATCCTTGACAAAGCTTATATTCTCTGTCTTGATGTTTTTTGAAGAAATAGAATAAAATTCTAATTTTTGAGTATCTAACTTATTTCACACACACTTCGTATTTCAGGTTGACATTATTTACTGTCATTTTGAAAATATTATCGACAATAAGAACTAGTATTTCAAAAATTTGTAAAATATAAACCTATTACCACATGATAGTTGGTTTGAGTTATATCTAGTAAGTGAACACTAGCAAATGGGACAACACACATTGAAACAGTGTTTTTCTGAATTTAAAACACTATTTATCTATTAAATTATATTGACTCACATGAATATAAATGTGGTCTTTAATTGGCTTTGCTTCTGAATTGCATAAAATAATGGACCTGTTTTAATCAAGTTCTACAGCACTAAGCATCATGCTTGATGTTTTATCGAGCATAAACCTTAATCCAAAGTAAAGAAATGTTTTGTAAAGGGTAGTGGAAAATTGTGTATATCTATATGCATCTAAATTATTTAGTACATAACTGAAAGAGACTAAGAGATATGTCATATTGGCAAAAAGTAAAATCAAAAATTTACTCAAAATTCTTTTAAATGAATGTCTTTCTGTTGAGAACTACACCTGGAGGTGACTACGTGAAACTCTGATACATACTAGCGATATCAAGCTACAATAATTTCGTTTTAACCTAATCACAGAAATATCCAGTTCTCACTCTTTGCCTTTATTTATTTATTTTAGCATTAAGAGGGTAGACAGTATTATAACTTCATTTTACTGTTTTTAATATTTTCACCATGAAAGTTACTGAATCTCTAATTCTGTTTTTCTAGCTAGATACAACACATTTCTATGCAACTGTCCTAGTTTGCTGTAAACTCACAATAGCCAAATACGGGGGAATTCTTGGCTTTACTGAAATAATTCTTCTTAGGTATTCCTGGCTCTTGACATTTTGCTCACCAAATCTTTCCTTAAATACCACTTCTAATCATATTCTTAAATGTATATTTTCTTCATTCCACAGCTATAATCAGTAATCTATATTAATCTCTTGTTACCTATAATTTCATGTCTGAACCCTTCAATTGTCTTTAAAGTTCACTGATAATACATGCCCTATCACCAAAATGTCTTTGTTCCCATTCCTTAAAACAATACCTAATCTATTCTTGATACTCCTACTCCCTATCTATACTAGGATACTGGTACCTACAACTACATAATCCCTGGATCATTTTTTAAAGGGAAGATATATTTTGAAAGCTTGTATGAAAAAACTTCAATTACAAACTTAAGTATAATACTCAACAAATATTTCACTTGTAAAGTATCACTTCAAAACAAAATTGTAATATGCATATTCATATGTATATGAATTTAAATGTACATGGAACATAGTGAGTATTTAGGATGATTTTTTATGATCATGACATCATATATCATGACATCATGACAGGTATGCATGATATCTAGTGATGTACAAATTTCATTTTGATAAAACACAGCATCCACTTCTTTGATTGTGCTGACACTAAATCTAAAATTGATGTTTTTGAACTATGGTGTTGGAGAAGACTCTTGAGTGTCCCTTGGACTGCAAGGAGATCCAACCAGTCAATCCTAAAGGAAATCAGTCCTGAATATTCATTGGAAAGACTGATGTTGAAGCTGAAACTCCAATACTTTGGCCCTTATGTGAAGAACTGACTCACTGGAAAAGACCCAGATGCTGGGCAAGATTGAAGGCAAGAGGAGAAGGGGATGACAGAGGATGAGACGGTTGGATGGCATCACCAACTCAATGGACATGAGTTTGAACAGGCTCCAGGAGTTGGTGATGGATAGGGAAGCCTGGCATGCTGTAGTCCACGAGATTGTAGAGTCAGACACTACTGAATGACTGAACTGAACTGAACTGACCACATAGGGTTCCTAATAGAGAATATGGCCACTTGCTGGTACTGGACTCCAGAAATCATGTTGAATTTCAAGGGCTACCCCAAGGCCATCGACATCTGTTCTGTGGGCTGCATCCTGGCAAAGATGCTCTCCAGCAGGCCCATCTTCCCCAGGAAACATTACCTTAACCAGCTGAAACATGTTCTGAGTATTCTTGGATCCTCATCTCAGGAAGAACTGAATTGGATAAAAAATTTAAAAGCTAGAAACTATCTGCTCTCTCTTCCACACAAAAATAAGGTGTCATGGAACAGGCTGTTCCCAAATGCTGACTCCCAAGCTCTGGATTTACTGGACAAAATGTTGACCTTCAACCCTCACAAGAAGATTGAGGTGGAGCAGGCTCTGGCCCACCTGTACCTGGAGCAGTACTATGACCTGAGTGATGAGCCTATCACTGAAGCACCCTTCAAGTTTGACATGGAATTGGACGACTTGCCCAAGGAAAAGCTCAAAGAACTCAAATCTAAAATGCCCTCCTTATGTAATCATATTTCACCGTTCCTTGAGTTACAAAACATGAAGAAACCATTCTTAGCTAATCTAATTTTAATGATTTTTCCTTTTTGTCAAAATTCCTACTCTTTATAGTAACAAACAAACAAACACTTAATGCTTGATTCAATATTTAACTATAACACTTCTACTCACCTGGCTAGTAGAATTGAAATGGATCTTGCATTAATGTATAGAAGCAAAGTTTGTGTACATATGCACATTACCAGTTTCTTTATAGATATATCTTCATTGTTTAATGTATTGATAAACAATAGTAGCAATTGAAAAACATAATCTTGCTTATGAATTAAATAACTTTCTCTAGTTTCATTGCTCTGTTTCAAAGTTTGTGTCTTATGAATAATGGGTTTATTGGATGATGTAAATTCAGTCTAATTGAAATATAATGTTAAAAAAAACATTGTGAGTGAAATTTATTTTAATGTTAATTAGAATATGTCACAATAAATTATATTAAAGCAATGAAGAGAAATTGAAAAATTTGTGAATACACCTGCCGCAGAATCCTGTTTTTTTATCTTTGCCCCTAAGATATTTACCATGGACTTCCCTGGTGAACCAGACGGTAAGGAATCTGCCTGCGATTGCAGAGAAGACTTGAATTTGATCCCTCGATTGGGAAGATACCCTGAGGAGGGCAAAGCAACTCATTCTAGGACAGAGGAGCCTGGCAGGCTACAGTCCACAGAGTCACAAAGTGTTGGACACGACTGAGTGACTGAGCACGGCACAATAAATGCACGTGAAAACTGTGCAAGATGTTTTCATCTGTTCTCTGTGCTTCTATCTGAATTATTTCCATGCTTCTCTTACAGTTTCTGGTGAAACATCATGCACTTTTAGTTCTCAATAACATTTAATTCTTTGAAAACAGAAAAAGACCAAACATCTTAGAACACATAGAAAATATGCTGAATTTATTTTATGTAGCAAAGAAGACTAACATAAAGTACAGTATCAGAACACACCTTGTGATAAAGCAGAATGTGAAAAAGGCTATTTTAATGTATCCATAGTGCTGATGCAGATATAAGCAATCATTTCAAAATTAGAAATTACAGTGAGTCTAATTAGTGCTGCAGTTTCTGTAAAATAGACTGATGAAAGTTAATCACACGAGGAGAACCCAAAGCACTTCCCTTTAAAATCTCATATAAGCCACAGTATATACTTTACATAACAATAATTTTTATTGTTTCTAGAAACATAAAATAAATATTTTAATATATACATTTTCTATATTTCATCAGTATTTGTTTACTTATATGAACATTGCTATCTTAATATCTTTACAATTTTATTTAATATACCTACATTCTACTTTTCAACAACTTACACTCTATTTTTTAAATCTATTTATTTTAATTGGAGAAAAATTACTTTAAAATATTGTGATGATAAGAATATACAATGGAGTAGAGACAATCTCTTTAACAAGCGGTGCTGGGAAAACTGGCCAATCACTTGTAAAAGAATGAAGCTAGAACACTTTCTAACACCATAAACAGAAATAAACTCAAAATGGATTAAAGATCTAAACGTAAGACCAGAAACTGTAAAACTCCTAGAGGAAAACATAGGCAAAACACTCTCCGACATAAATCATAGCAGGATTCTTTATGGCCTACCTCCCAGAGTAATGGAAATAAAAGCAAAAATAAGCAAATGGGACCTAATTAAACTTAAAAACTTTTGCACAATGAAGGAGACTATAAGCAAGGTGAAAAGACAACCTTCAGAATGGGAGAAAATAATAGCAAACAAATAATTAATCTCAAAAATATACAAGCAGCTCAAGCAGCTCAATACCAGAAAAATAAATGACCCAATCAAAAACTGGGCCACATTTTGTTTGGGTTGTTTGTTTTTCTGGTATTGAGTTTTATATGAGCTTCTTGTATATTCTGGAAATTAATCCTTTGTCAGTTGTTTCATTTGCTATCATTTTCTCCCATTCTGAGGGTTATCTTCTCACCTTGTTTATAGTTTCCTTTGCTGTGAAAAAGCTTTTAAGTTTAATCAGGTCCCACTTATTTACATTTGTTTTTATTTCTGTTACTCTAGGAGGTGGGACATAGAGGATCTTGCTTTGAGTTATGTCATTAAGTATTCTGCCTATGTTCTCCTCTAAGAGTTTTATAGTTTCTGGTCTTACATTCAGGCCTTTAATCCATTTTGAGTTTATCTTTGTGTATGGTGTTAGGAAGTGTTCTAATTTCATTCTTTTACATGTAGCTGTCTAGTTTTCTCAGCACCATTTATTGAAGAGGCTGTCTTTGCCCCATTGTATATTCTTGCCTCCTTTGTCAAAAATAAGGTATCCATAGGTGCATGGATTTATTTCTGGGCTTTCTAGCTTGTTCTATTGGTCGATATTTCTGTTTTTGTGCCAGTGCCATACTCGATTCCTCCAGCTCCATTCTTCTCTTCAAGACTGTTTTGGCTCTTCAGGGTCTTTTGTGTTTCTATATGAATTAAGACCTAAACAGACATTTCTCCAAAGAAGACATACAGATGGCTAACAACACATGAAAAGATGCTCAACATCACTCACTATCAGAGAAACACAAATCAAAACCACAATGAGGTACCACCTCATGCCAGTCATAATGGCTATCAAAAAGTATATAAACAATAAATGCTGGAGAGGGTGCAGAAAAAAGTGAACCCTCTTACACTGTTGGTGGGAATGCAAACTAGTACAGCCACTATGGAGAACAGTGTGGAGATTCCTTAAAAAATAGGAAATATAACTGACATATGACCCAGCAATCTCACTGCTGGGCACACACACTGGGGAAACCAGAATTGAAAGAGACACATGTACCCCAATGTTCATCGCAGCACTGTTTACAATAGCTAGGACATGGAAGCAACCTAGATGTCCATCAGCAAACAAATGGGTAAGAAATCTGTGGAATAAGAAATCAATGGAATATTTCTTAGCTATTAAAAAGAATGCATTTGAATCAGTTCTAATGAGGTGGATAAAACTGGAGACTATTATACAGAGTGAAGCAAGTCAGAAGTAGATATTTCTACTTCTGCTTTATTAACTATGTCAAAGCCTCTGACTGTGTGGACTACAACAAACCATGGACAATTCTTAAAGAGATGGGAATACCAGACCACCTGACCTGCCTCTTGAGAAGTCTGTATGCAGGTCAGGGACGAACAATTAGAACTGGACATGGGACAAAGGACTGGTTCCAAATAGGGAAAGCAATACATTAAGGCTGTATATTGTCACCCTGCTTATGTAACTTATATGTCGAATATACCATGAGAAATGCTGGGCTGGATGAAGCACAAGTTGGAATCAAGATTGCCAGGAGAAATATCAATAACCTCAGATATGCAGATGACACCACCTTTATGGCAAAAAGTGAAGAAGTAGAACTAAAGAGCCTCTTGATGGAAGTGAAAGAGGAGAATGAAAAAGTTGGCTTAAAGCTCAACATTCAGAAAACAAAAATCAGGGCCCCATGGGCCCCCAAAGATCTGGTCCCATCACTTCATAGGAAATAGATGTGGAAACAGTGACAGGTTTTACTTTTGAGGGCTCCAAAATCACTACAGATAGTGACTGTTGTCATGAAATTGAAAGACACTTACTCCTTGGAAGGAAAGTTATGACCAACATAGACAGTATATTTAAAAGCAGAGACATTACTTTGCTGACAATGATCTGTCTAGTCAAAGTTATGGTTTTTCCGGTAGTCATGTATGGATATGAGAGTTGGACGGTGAAGAAAGCTGAGCGCCAAAGAATTGATGCTTTTAAACCATGGTGTTGGAGAAGACTCTTGAGAGTCCCTTGGACTGCAAGGAGATCCAGCCAGTCAATCCTAAAGGAAATCAGTCCTCAATATTCATTGGAAAGACTGATGCTGAAGCTGAAACTCCCATACTTTGGCCACCCAATGCAAAGAACTGACTCATTTGAAAAGACCCTGATGCTGGGAAAGATTGAGGGCAGGAGGAGAAGGGGATGACAGAGGATGAGATGGTTGGATGGCATCACTGACTCAATGGACATGAGTTTGAGTAAACTCCTGGAGTTGGTGATGGACTGGGAAGCCTGGTGTGCTGCAGTCCATGGGGTCACAAATAGTCAGACACGACTGAGCAACTGAACTGAATTGAAGCCAGAAAGAAAAACACCAATACAGTATATTAACGCATATATTTAGAATTTAGAAAGATGGTAACAATGATCTTGTATGCGAGACAGCAAAAGGGACACAGATATAAAGAACAGACTTTTGGACTCTGTGGGAGAAGGTGAGGATGAAAAGATTTGAGAGAATAGCACTGAAGCATATATATTATCATATGTGAAACAGATGACCAGTCCAAGTTCAATGTATCAAACAGGGCACTAAAAGTCAGTGCACTGGGACAACCCTGAGGGATGGGATGGGGAGGGAGGTGAGAGGGAGGTTCGGGGTGGGAGTCACCTGTACACCCGTGGCTGATTCATGTCAATGTATACCAAAAACCACTACAATATTGTAAAGTAATTATCCTCAGGTTAAAATAAATTAATTAATTTAAAAAAAAGAAAATAATTTTCCCTTCATTACAAAGAAGATTCTGCTTGATGACATATTGATTTCTCAGGTTAATATCAAATACTTTTCATGTGAAAAATTTTAAAGTCATCAAGGTTATATATCTTTCAAAAATATATGCAATAATATTATGCAATAATTTTACTTATTCTTAATAAGCTGTTTTAACATAGAAAAAATATTGTGATGGTTTCTGTCATACATCAACATGAATCAGCCATGGGTATATATACATGTGTCCCCCACATCCTGAACCCCACTCCCACCTCCCTCCTGATCTTATCCTTCTAGGTTGTCCCAGAACACTGGCTTTGGGTGCCCTCTTCATGCATCAAACTTACACTGTTCATCTGTTTAACATATGGCAATGTATATGTTTCAAGGCTATTTTTTCAAATCATCCTACTCTCTCCTTTTCCCACTGAGTCCAAATATCTATTTTTATTCAACTTTTATTTGGACATGTTAGAAAACACATTAGCTTTCATTAATAGTTCA